AAAAAAAAAAAAAAAAAAAAAAAAAAAAAAAAAAAAAGATGTGAGGATCTTTGGAGTGGATTAGAAGATGCAGAAGCAACCCCAAGCACACTCACATTCACTGGAAGAAAGGTAGCCTTAATAAATGGTGCTGGAAAAACTGGCTTTCCACATGCCAAAGACTAAAACTAGACCTCTGTCTCACAGTGCACTAAACTAAAATCGAAATGGATCAAAGATCTAAATATTAAAACAGATACACTGCTGGAGGAGAGAAGAAGTAGAGCTCTTGAAAACATAGCTGCAGAAAAAGACTATGAACAGAACCCTGATAACACAGGAAATACTACAAAGAATCAACAACTTGGACCTCATCTTATTAAAAAGCTTTTGCACAGCAAGAGAAAGCAACAACAGAGTGACTAGATAACTCCCACAGTGGGGGAAAAAATTAACCAGTTGTTCCCCAGACGAAAGACTAATATCTAGAACATTTCAAATGAAAAAGATCAGACTCCCCAAATTTAAAGACCCAGTTGAAAAATAGATGTCTGAGATGAATACGTACTTCTCAGATGAAAAAGTACAAATGGCAAGTAAATATATTAAAACATGTTCAACATCACTGGCCATTCAAAAGATACAAATTAAAACGATGCTGAGATTCCATCTCACTTCAGAAAGAATTGCTGTTATCAAGAAATCAACCAACATAAATGCTGGTAGGGCTATGAGGAAAAAGGAACTCTTCTCCACTGTTGCCAAGAATGTAGACTTGTGAAACCACTGTGGAAATCAGTGTGGAGATGCCTCAAAAAAAAAAAAAAAGAATTAGAAGAACCATTTGACCCATCTTTTCCCCTTCTGGGTATCTTCCTAAAAGAATTAAAAGCATCATGCCATAGTGACATATGTCCACCCATGTTTATAGCAGCACAGATTATAATAACTAAATCTTAGAAACAACTCAAATTCCCATAAACTGATGAGTGGATAAAAAATATGTGGGTTTTTTTTAAATATACAATGGAGTACTGCTTAGCCATAAAGAATAAACTTGAGACATTTCTAGGTAAATGGATCTACCTTGAGACCATACTCAAGTGAAATAAATCAGACACACATATATTGCGTTGTCTCTCTGGTGTGAGAAACAGGAAGGAAAGGAAAAGGTAAAAATTGAGAAAGGAAGGATAAAATGAAAGTAAAGATTTATAGATAAGGGAAAGAGAGGTTGAAGAGAAGTGAGAGGAATGTACAGGTAGAAATTCCCTGTGATGAATGTGATTGTGTAGATCTGAAGAGTGCAAATAAACCTAATTCCAAAAAAGAAATAACATAAAATCCTGTGTTGGGTCTCCCTTTAGCCTAGAAAAAAAATCTACACTTACTGTGCAAGCATCTGAACAACTCAAGTCTTGACTCAAAGTTAAAAAGCACTAAATGGAATGGCTGTGTTTGCCCTAATAGTGAAAAATAACATGCATGGTAATTTTATAGAATCAATCATCTAAAGCCTAGAGGGTTGGGAACCAGGTAATGCCAGAGGGGGGAAGAGAAAAGGGAAAAAACTTTTTTCTTTTGGGTTTTTAAGTCCTCTGCTCTGTGATATGGAAAGGTGGAAACAGGAGAGGGGCAAAGGAGCCTAGTGCTGTAGGGCAAGTTATATATTTAGAAAGGGGTGTGATGGCTGTGTCTGGTGTCCCCCCAACACCTCCTGCAGTCCTAAGTGGGGCTCCTCAGGGGTGGCTGGATCTAGAGTATGATGCTGGGATAAAGGGTGTGTGATTATTGAGCCACAGTTCCGAGTGTGGGTAACAGGAAGACCCACCCTGCTTGTGAGTGCCCTCCACCCTAAGTGCATGTAGCCTGGATAGCATATGAGGGGTAGAAAGAGGGTTGCTGCTTGCTACTTCACTGCTGGCTGGCTGCTGCCTACCCCACTTTGCCGTGGACTGTTTCTCCTCAGTGGCCCTCTGCTGTGTACCCTGCCTTGGAGGTGAAACCTCTGCAAACTGTGAGCTAAAAAAAAGAACCCTTTCCTCCTTTAACTTTGGGTGTTGGGTATTTTGTCTTAGTAGCAAGAAAAGTAACTAGGACAGGGAATAACAGAAAGCAGAAAAAAAATTGGTAGTGAGAAATGTAGATGGGAAAAGTCTGTGACTGAAACAAGTATTAGAGAAATATTTTAAAGAAGATAAGTAAAAAGAGGAAGAGGAAAGAAAAGAGAAATTAAGAATGAGTAAGACAGGAGAAAGACGTCAGGTGAAGAGATATGGGTAGAAGTAGGAGGGATAAGAGAGAATTCCCTTACCTTCTATAAACTGTATCGGGTGGGGAAAAGCAAGCGGAAGAGAAGCACACACAGACTCACTCATAAAGGAAGAACAGTAAAATTACGGGGAAAAGCATGGAGAAAAGCAGAAACAGCACAGAATAATTTTTAAAATTTTAAATGAAAGATACAATACAAATCTAAAGAATAATAGAAAGTTTTCTATTGTTTTAGATGCGTGGCTCTTTTCCTCAGCCTAGGATTAAGGAGCAAAGCTCAAGCAGGATATTTCTGCTTACACTGGAGGTCTAAGGTGCCGTCCCCCCGCAGAATGGTGCTGGGTATAGATGTCAGCTTACAGGGGGATCAGGGCGCCAGTTTGAGCTTCCTGGACGGTGTGACCCAGGCTCAACCTGGCCTCGGACTGCATGAGCCTGGTCTGTGTTCCGCAGCCCGGCCTCTCAGCAGGGTCTCCCAGCCTGTTCTGTAGCTCCTGCCGGTCTCCAGGACTGTCCTTCCTTCGCCAACCCTGGGAACCTGGCAGAGTGGGGCAGTCGAAGGGCTGCCCTGGGACCCAGGCTCAGATTCTCAGCCCTCCCTACAATAGCACCCTTGCCAGATCTTGCTCCACGGTAGTAAATTCGGGCAGTTGTACCCAGGTCACTCACCGACTCTTGATGTGAAAGGCCCTGGAGGCAGGGTCCCTCTTTTGTTTTCCTTGCTGGTTCCAACTGCAGGTTGGTTGATTCTTCTGGTCGATGGAGTTCTCCAGTTCTCCACGAGCCCAAAAGTTGTTAGTTTGACTTTGGCTCCCAGTTCGTGGCTGCCCAGCCTCTCTCAGTGGCCCTGTGTGGTCTCCTTTGTGGTGGGATCTGTTTCTTCTGTATCACCTAATCCTGTTTTCAACTCTGCCACTTCCCCCGTGGTGCCCAGGTAACCTCCATCACTTCATTGCATCCCCAAGCTGTTGTTTTCCAGACTGACACTTTGTCCTGGCTGAGTTACTGCCGCTCAGGGCTCTGCTGCTTCAGGATCCCCAAGTTAGAACTTCTGACTGCCATGTTCGGTGCTAATTGATGGGGGTCTGCATAACTATATTGTGTTTTAGCACAGCATTTAACTATTCTGGTCACAATTATGCACTTACTCTGCTATAGTTCAAGGAGTAGTTTTAACTCCTTCATACACCCATAATGTTCTTGATAAAATATTAAAATAATTATGCAAATATACAAAACAATTTCTCCTTGCCACAAAGCATGGATTTATTTATAATATAAAATAATTACTCTGAATCTGTTCTATGTGGAATGCTATACTTAGCCCTTCATAAACATTGAAATGACAAGGGAAAATAACAAACATCTAAAATATTTATCATTATTTTATTAGTAGTGAGAATAATAAATGAGCAACAGAAGACACAGTGCCTCAGCTGGTTACTTTGATGATACCTGTGATGATACGTGTTCCATTGCTCTACTTTCCTATCCTCCAGCTAGGCAGGGAGAGGCACAGTAGACAGTGGGCTTTGGAGTCAGTCAGATCTGCATTCAAACTCCCTTTCTCTGCCTAAGAGCTGTGTGTCTATGGGCACATTAACTTTTCCAAGCTTCAAGTTTTGTTTTGCATTTTTAACTGATAGACTGTTACAGAGATTAAGAATAACTTTCTAAAACATCTAGCACAATGCCTACCACACAGAAATTTGTGCTCTGGAAAAGAAGAAAGAAAATGAAAAAGAATCCTACTACCTTTAAATAGAGATCTTCTAAAATACTGCTGAAATCCCAGTGTGCTTATACAATAAAAGAAAAATCCAAATTAAATACAGTCTGAACTGAAAGTTTCCTCTTTCGATTTCTAGAAGTTAAAATGTTTGTGACACATGTATCTTAATCCCTTGTCCTTTGATTTCAGCAGGAAAGGAAGGACAAGAAATCCTGGGGCCTGAAGCTCAGGCAGATGAAGCAGGGTGTACAGGTACTCTGACTATTTTCTCTTATATTACAGTCTTTGAAGGAAGTCTTTTGTGACACCGGTTTTTACATTTACAAGTCCTGAATTCAGTCTGTTTTCTCCTCTTTTATCTTGCCCTCCTTAAATGTTTAACTATTAAGGCATATAGGGCACTAGACTAAAAGTTAGAAGCTAATATTCTTTAAATACAGTATACATTTACAGATTTGCTTAATAAAGCAAATTTTCCATCCTATAAGAATAACAAGTATAACCTACAGCTAATCTAAAATAATAAATGTTTGATTATTTGAATTTGTATCACAAATTTTACCAAAGTTACAAAAATGCACCTAACAGCCATTTGAATTTTATTACTATTAGTTATCAGGGTCTGCTTTGACGTGCCCATGAGACAACCCAGGAGAGAGAAATACAAGTAGATATCATGAATGATCTTTATACCAGATGAGAATCATGAATATATCACAGCAAACAAAAGAATTGATGTTTTTCTTGTGATTTCTGTGATTAAAAAGGTCAAAATGAAGTTGAATGATAGTAAACAAGGAAATTTGACTCTAGATGACTAAAAGTTCATACTCCCTGAGACTTAAGGCTCTTTCTCTGTAATGGATTCAATCAGACTCAACAAGCACAAGAGTGAGTGGAAATCTTAAGTCAGATCTTCTGTAAGATAACACGAGAAACTTGCTATGGTGTCCCTATCTGAGGGAGAACCATTAAAATGTAAACTTAAAAAATGAATTCCAAATTAAAACATTTCCTCAAAATACTATCCTTGAAAGCAATATAGTTACATTTTATATATTCAGTCAGATTAGATATTTCTATCATATTTTAATTAAGTGTAATAACATTCTCTTCCATGATTTAACAACATTGGTAGATTTTTACTTCACAGTACATTTTAGCAGTATTTTGTAAGCCTTGTAAATTATCTTTCACTACTAATTATCCTTTACTACTACTAGTGGTTCGTGGTTAATAGATATCAAAAGCAGATTTCATCTCTAGTATAAATATTAGCACTCTCATACTTGTCAGTCACACAGAATAAAGAATGAATCTTTGTTGATTAAAAGTGAATTCTAAATTAATTAATAGTGGAGTATGTGATAATTTATGGTGCTATAGCCTAAGATCTTACATTCTTTCCTTAACTGGGTTGTGTGTAACATGCATGAATAATGTACTCAGGTATACTTGTTATCAAATATAACCTAAAGAGTATATAAAATATTTAAACTGGATACTTGTTATTAAACCAATAATATTAATAAGCACAAAAGAATGATATTTTTACTCTTATCTAATATTAAAACTTTGATGGCTTGTAAATACTGTATTGCCAGAGTTTTAAACCATTTGCCATTCTAGGCAAAAAAAAAAAAATGATCAAATAAAACATTCGTAGTTCCAAGTTTACAATATTTGATCTCAGTTTTGTTCTGTTATAAAAATAAATTAATTCAGCTTGAAATATGGAGTAATACATAAATTTTCCTTAAAAAACACATCTGTAAGGCACAGTAACCTTTAATCCCTGAAGTTGCTACTAAAATGTAAGGCCTCTCCCACCCCCACAGGAAAATGCTCCCTCTTGCCTTAACTCCCCTGGGACAAGAGAAGAGAGAGCAAGCAGATACTTGAGAAAGCTCCAGTTAAACTATAAAATTGGGTTTTGCCTCTGCTTTTGTTATTTCCTTGACTTCTATGGAATAACCTGCTGACAAAAACATAGTACAAAGGTCACTATCATTAGTTCAGAACTTTGTCAGATCTTTTCTGTAGCTGACTTCCTCTTGCTATTCATGAAGTTAAGAGAACTGTAGGCTGAGCTTAGTATTCAGAGAGTGATATATTCACCCAAAACATTCTTTGTTCTGAGCCCCTTTATACAGTTAGCAGCTTTACAAAATCTCAAAAGTGGAGAGTAAAGATTGGAGGGAGGAAGCAAGCACAGAAATATATTTCCAAACACACACACACACACACACATATACATATATTTTATATTTATATATATGGCTAAATAAAAAATGGTAGTCTTTATATGACATGTCTGGTGTCTACTTTGTGGTTTACAGTCCTGTAGTTCTACACTTTGTTGAGGGATTATAGTGTCAGAATTCTGTACTTTGACAATCAGCTCTGAATCTCCTCCTATCTAAAAGAAATCTAAATTACCATTATGTATTTCTATGTATTTGCCCATCTAGTGCCTAAATATATAAGTGGATTAATCTTAAGACCAGGAAATTTCTTTGTAATTGACCTTTTCATGATGTCTACTTTGCAATATGTTCAATATGTTAAATTTTGAGATAAAACTGCACAAATTTGGGTTTCCGCTTGAAATTGGCCTTGGTAAATGTGGGTTCATGGAGACAGGGTAGTTTAATGGAAAGAACCCAGGATTTGATCCCAGAAGCCTAATACCAAATTGTCTGCTCTAGTAGTACTTACTTTTTTCCCCATTGGATCTTGGATCCAGTCCTAATTTCTATTGAGAAAAATGTTAATTGTGAAATTATGACGTTCACTTTGCAGGACCATTTTAAGGAAAACAGCTAACAATTATATAGCACTTACTACATGTCCAGCACAGTACTAATAAGCACGTTACTATACTAATTCAGTCCTCACAACAACCCTAGGAGTTACTGTGTCACCCAGATGTTATAGTGTGTAACCTGATCTTACACTGCCTTGCAAACTTCTTACTGCACATATAAAATTTTTCTTTATATCAAGCAGTAACAATTTCTAGCATATTAAAAATAATTGCCAATTTTAACATCATTCTTATCTGTGAAATCCATAGCAACTTAACACTTTGTCATTCATTTGTTAAAATAACCTGGTAGAACCAGAAATGTGATAGGATAGTGTTTACTCCTTGAACTCATGCTTGCCATTTATATATCCTATAGAATTTTATACTGACAATATATATTTTTGCTTGAAGGTATTTTTGATCAACTTAACATTTCATTATAAGAAGGATACATATATAAAATGAAATTGAAATTTCTCTTTCATTTCCAGGGATCAGAAGAATCAAGGTTTAAAGAATGGATTTATCACAGTTGATCACATTAATTACACATATTAGTAAATATTTGTTAAAGGAAACGTGTTGAAAATGAGATTAAATGAGCAAAAGTAGTTTTCATTTACTTTATGTAATATTAACTTGTAAAAGTATTTAACATTGCTTCTACTTTTGTTTAGCACTGTAATAGTTTCTCAAAATGAAAAATTTGTTATAACTGTCTCAATTTTTTGTACATCTTCAGAATTATATGCCAATATTTAGTTATAGTTATTCATCAATACAAATATTTTAATACCCTGTGGCTAACAATTCAGTACTCCTTCAGTTTTATTGAAAACAAATTCAAAGCCACCTTATTTACAGGTAGATTTGTTTGCTGGTCATTAGATCTATTCGCTCTCTCATTCTCTGGATGTGCACCAGAAAAGCTTGCTGAAAACTTCTCACCAATGGACTAATTATACCTGTTTGGGCTTTTTGTGTTGTCCTCAAGAAGAGGCAACTTTTTGGAGAAATTGAAATATAGTTAATTTCAGTATTTTTTCCAAAACATTTTCTATTGAAAAATCTTCTGTTTTCCTACATGCACTATTTTTTTTTTATCAATTCCTTGTGTCACCTAATACCTGGAAAATTTCAGCCTAATAATGTAACTAGCAAAGACATGTATTACCACTACCCTGGTCAAACCAGACTATCTGTAAGGAAAAAAATGTGTGTCCTTATTTTTTCAATCAAATAATGTATACATTTACTATTAGTATGTATGCTGTTAGTATACATTTTAAGAAAAATTTCTTCAAGAGGAAATGAGTTAATATCTAAATTATAAATTTAAAACATAAAATGTAAATATAAAAACAAATTAGTAATGAAGCTGTTGTAGATCTAATTTTTAGTTATAAAAATCTATCTCCAAATGTGTATATTTGGAATCACTTACTACACAGATAATGAAGAAGCAAATACTGTATCATCTATGAAATAGATTATGTATTTCTGAAAAGTGTATGCTATTTTAAAACTCATTCCAGCAGCAGCAGTGTGTTAAGCTACCCACAATATATACATTATGTCTATGTGTCTATTTCATGTTACTCAGATGTAGAAAATGTTAACATTTTATGAGATGAAAATTTCTAAATTGAAAAACATTTTTATAATAATTTGAGTAAAAATGTTTTTCCAAATAAGAGTATAGGGAATCTCTAAGAAATCACATGAAATATAAGTTTCATTCATGAGTTTTATCTGGTTTAATTTGAAAGGCTGAATTTGCAGTGAGCAGACTCAATGCCATTGACGTCACTGCTTTAGCTATTCAGCAGTGCTCGTTTTCCCAGCTGGTGGTGGAAGATGTTTCAGTACGTTCTTCCTTCCTTTCATCATTCTGATGGGCAGTGAGCTGTTTAGCAATAGGAGGTGTACAGCACATGAGGGCATTAAAGAAAATTTTCCTCACTTCTTCTGTCCACATTATTATATAGTTGATTTGGAAATAAACTACCCCCATTTCACTTGCCATGCTTAATAGAAATGCTTGTAAATAGGAAAGACTGGAAGACCTATAATGGTTTTATGCTGCTTTGAATAGTCAATAAGGAAAACTCCCCAGTTACTATTTCGAACTTTTCTTCTTCCATACTCTGGCAGTATACCAAATTAATAGAGCACATCAATGGAGGGACAGGCCTTCATTAGTGTAATAGATTAATAGAGCACATCAGTGGAGGGATATGCCTTTTTCTATTTTTCCTAAGAAAATGTGAAGAAAGAATACTGTAGAAAAGGGAGAGTAGAGAGAAGAACCTTCAGACCGCCAAAAGTATGCCTGGAAGTTGAGGATCTGGAAATTGAGTCCCTAAACCAGCAGTTATCAGCTCTCCTCTTAAAGTTTTCACATGCTTCTGGATTCAGCAGCCCTTTTAATGACATTGAGGATCTGGAAATTGAGCCCCTAAACCAGCAGTTATCAGCTCTCCTCTTAAAGTTTTCACATGCTTCTGGATTCAGCAGCCCTGGTTTAATGACAAATGACATTTTTCAGCCTATGATAGTTAGAGGTGTTACTGAAAACGTAAAATCTCTACGAACCAATGTTACTGATTCTGAGATTTTAAACAGCAACCATCTGAGGAGCTCAGTTACACTACTGGGTAGATTTGGCAAGATTGTTTTAGTAACCGTCAAACAGAAAGTTGCCCATACATCACCATTTTCATTTGGCCTAGTTTCAGTCTACCAGGAAGTGCCGTTTTATTAATTTAGAGCTGACAGTTCAGTCTCGGACCTGTGAAGTCAGCCGTGAGGCACTTGGGAGTCATGTCCTCCACCTGGTGCAGTTAGCACAGCTGTAGCCCACAGGCTCCTAGAGCCAACCCGGGGAAGTGGGCGGCCACAGTTCAGCGGCACTGCTTTAGGGACGGCGTGGCTCTCTGGGCAGCCCTCCCACAGCGAGAGCACTGGGCTGTCTGTTATCTCCAGCCCTTTCTCACTCCATAAGAAACAGACCTGCCTTAATCCCAGTTAGGCACTACAAGGCATAAATAAAGGAGGAATTGGTTTGTATAGAAAGTCTAACGGAAGTGAAAATCAACTCGTATTTATGTGATTTGATATCTTCTTGTTAGAAGTCTTAACTAAAGATCATTTAAAGTTATTTTCTGAGAATTCACATAACTGAAAGACTGGTTCATACGGGAATGATTCAGATTTAAAGTGCAACTTTGAATAATACTTTGATAGGTTGCTAAGAAGGTGGTCTTTGAGAACTGTTCTTTTTTCCTTTTATCATTAAGAATAATGATTTCAGTCAACCATATTACTTTGTATTTTATTTATCAGACACATGGAATAGAAGTATAATCTTAAGGATTAAAAGGGATAATGTGGGAATTTCCAACATTTATAACATTTTAAATATATAAAGCAAAAGGATCTTGGTATGATGGCACATGCCTATAATCCCAGCACTCTGTGAGGCTGAGGCAGGATCACAAGTTCAAGCCCAGACTGGGCAACTTAGCAGTTTAGTGGCCCCTGTCTCAAAATTAGAACTTAAAATATAAAATTAAGTAATTGGAGATGTAGCCCCAGGCACAATCCCCAGTACCAACCCCCTCCCCCAAAAGCACTTAATAGATTGCAAAAAAATGAGTAAAGTTCATTTTACTCTTCAGTAAATATTTTCTATTATTTAAAAAACGATTTTGTATTTTCTCAAATAATTTCTTATTTAGAAAAACTTTGTAACAACTTGGTAAAATTGTCATTTATAAAGCATTCATTTCTTTCAGTAAAAGATGATGAATGCGACTCAGATGCAGAAAATGAGCAAAACCATGACCCTAATGTTGAAGAGTTCCTACAACAACAAGACACGGCTGTCATCTACCCTGAGGCACCTGAAGAGGACCAGAGGCAGGGCACGCCAGAAGCCAGTGGTCATGATGAGAATGGTAGCTGCACCTTAACAGTTCTTTCTCTCTCTGTCTCTCTCTCCCTGTCCTCCTCCAGGTTCTTCTCTCTCCATCCCCTTTTTTCAGTTCCTTTGGCTAGCAAAACATGGTTGTCTGGTTGAAAGTTCACCAATTTGAAAACAATAGTTTTTTTGTATCTGCTTCAGCCTACTCTGATGGTGAACACTTGGTGTATAAATACAATAAAAATGCTGAGATACTTCAGAAAAGAATGTTATTCTGCCCCCTTGAAGCATAATAAACAGCATGTTACACTAAGAAATTTTATGTAAGATCTATACCAAGACTAGTAAGGTACTTAAAATGTTTAAAACTTTGTGAATTGCTAATATCCTAAGTCTTGCTTTATTTTTTCAGGATTTCTTGGTGCATAGATAGATTTAGCTTAATATTCAAAAAATCAATTGAAATTTTTAGAGAAATTGAGAAATACTATATAAAGTACAGAATAGAATCCATGACGGTCAACTCTTTATTAGTACATATTAATTTACATAATAGCGGTTTATCTTGGCATATTCGTACATGTAAATAACATTTTGATCACTAAATAAGGAAGCAGCTATGAAAAAGAGCATAAATGAATGTCATTCTAAATGGATAAGATTTTCCAAAACCAAATCTGTGAACTAGGACACTGCAGACCTGTTTCCTCTACTGTGCCAAACAGGTTCATTTTTAAAGAATGCAGATTATTGCCCTGGGTCACTGCAGGGCAGCTAGATCACTAGTGTTCTGTTGGTCAGTTTGCATTTGGAAGTCTGCACAATGCTGTAAATCCCTAACATACCTGCTTCATTCTCGGTGTTGTTTCTCTTAAAGAAAATATATCACCGTTTCACCAGAAGAAGCAGTAGATTGTAATAAAACTGAGAGGGACATGGAAAATTTTAAATATGTGGGCACACATACATCACAGAACAACCCCACAAAAGCCTTTGTGCGAGGGGCAACGGAATGTAAAGCTGTGTTGTCAGAGGCACCTGCTAACATCAGTCTGTGCAGATCAACTCATACAAATCGGAGCTCACCGTTCTGAACTAGTACAACATCTGAGTTATAGAATATGTTGCTAATTTAACACTTTCAGGTTTACAGCATAACTTTGTTAAAGACTAATAATGTATTCTAGTGTAGGTACTTTCACTAGTAGCTGTACATTTAAAGTCATCTTCAGAAGCTCTTAGTTTTTAATTCACATTAGATTAAACACACTTCCTTGCATGTTACCCTCAATAAGCTATATATAAGCAAACCAACACCAGCAGGTTGAATAATCAAAACTTTGGAATCATTGGAGAACAAATATAAGGGACTTTTCAGAAGTTTTATATTAAATATTATAAGTTTTATATTAAGAAAATTATACTATATAACAGAAATCTAGAAAATTTTAAGAATTTTGTTGTAAAAAATAATATTGTTACATATACTTGAAGAAATTATAGGCAGTTTAAAAATGGTCAGATACAGGTTTTTTAGTAGCATTGAGTCACTACCTTAAGTTTCTTGTCAATCTGAAAAGAAACATTTCCCCTGCATAGCAAACCTTAATTACAATATGAATCTTAATGAATTTTTATATTTTTGAAATAAAAACTTTCACTTGCCTTTTAAACCTGCTTATTCTGTTTGTTCCAAATACTCAGTTTCACTTTTGTTTTATGCTAGTGATTTAAAAGAATAAATTCAGCCAGGCATGGTGACGCATACCTATAATCCCAGCACTCGGGAAGCTGAGGCAGGAGGATCACTGTGAGTTTGAGATCAGCCTGGGCTACATTGTGAGTTCCAGGGCAGTCTCAACTACATAGTAAGACCCTGTCTCAAGAATAAATTCATATCTTATATGTGTAGGAAAATTTAGTAGATACTGATTGATGAAAATAACTTGCTATTAAAATATCATGAGCAACCTATCATTTTACAGATTATTAATGTTTTATTAATTACATGGATCAATCATGAAGACAAAGACAAAATGAGAGCAGGCAGCTCTGTGATCTTGGAGGAGGAACATTTGATTAAAGGGATCTCATGACATTGATGGAACCCCCACCTTGGCAGCCTCTGGCTTTTGCCATTGTAACGACCAAAGCAGTAAGCCAGACTAGGCATTCTGGGCGGGGGGCGAGTCCAGTGTTGACTCCCATTGGCCTATAAAAAGAGGAAATCTGTACTGGACAAAATTTGACATGTCCTCCCCAGATAAGATGCTCAATGGAAAGCCTTCTGGTTCATTGTGCCTTGCTAGCTAATAACAAAAGATAACATTATAAATTTTGGGGCTTTGAGGGTTTCATTTTATTTATATATTTGTTGCATGTCCACGTATATTTGAGTAGCTGTTTAGAGCTCAGGCATTCAATCTGTGACTGGCAGGCTGCTGTTTAAGCAGGACGTTTAATTTATACAGACATGAACTCTAATAGAGGAATACTGTATATGTTTATGGAGTATGTGGAGATACCTTTGTTTTCTGAAATTACATATATACAGAAAAAATTATGTAGAAAGCTTGTCACTGTGTTGATAGGGGAAAGAGTCAGGTCCAGGAGGCCCTTACGGGCAGGCCTAGATCTGGCCCCATCGCCACCACCCTCACCCACAACGCACACACTTTCTTTTTGGTCTGAAGTCAGTCATGTGGCCACATCTCATCGGAAGGGAAACTCAGAAATATTGCCTATGTAGTACATCTTCAAATGCTTAAGATAAACATTAAATAAATGATGACAACAACTGTTACCAGTGGATTCTATGTATAGTTCCTCCTTTACTGTGTAATTAGTGAAAAAGGTAGAGGCCTTGAAGGTCATCCTGTGTTTGAATCTGGCTTCATTGTTCACCGACTCTGACTTTTTAGGCTATTTAACCTTTCTGAGCCTTGTGTTTTCTCCTTTGTAAAATGGAAATGAATATTGTATTGTTTTGAGGATCAGATATAAAGTGGGTAGCACAGTATCTGGCACCTAGCATAGGAACTTAGTGTTAACTTTGGTAGCATTTTCTGAATGCTTTGAGTTTATAATATATAATCTCCTTTACAGGAACACCAGATGCATTTTCTCAGTTACTTACCTGCCCGTATTGTGATAGAGGCTATAAGCGCTTTACCTCTCTGAAAGAACACATTAAATATCGCCATGAGAAGAATGAAGATAACTTTAGTTGCTCCCTGTGCAGTTACACCTTTGCATACAGAACCCAACTTGAACGTCACATGACATCACATAAGTCAGGAAGAGATCAAGTAAGTGAGATCGCCTGGAGTTCATTGCCTCCAAAGTTTTGGAAATTCAACTCTTAAAGAAAGGCCAGGATTTTAGTATACTTAAGAGCTAAAACGATGTGGTAGAGACACCATCTTATCTGCAGTCTTAGGAAAATAAGAAATGAAAGTGATTAAATTTTTTCTTTTTCTGGTATGGTCCTTTCCATTTTTGCTTTTTTATTTTGTTTATTTCATAATAGATACTACTCCAAATTTAGAAGATCTCAAATCACATTCTATTAAAATATTCGGTGTGAGAAAATAAATACTGGCTACGTAAGTCACAAGACTTGATACTAACCAAATGGAGAAGACTTTTTTTTAAATATAATTTTCTTTGACCCAGTGACTGCTTTATTTAGGCTCAGTGTAAACTACTGTAGTTTTATTTTTCTTATTATGAGGGAAGCTGCCTCCTTTAAGAATCTAGTTTGCAGTTAGGTTTCAAATGGTTTGTAACTATAAGTTACACTTAAATTCTTGACTCTATATCAAGATAAGGAAGTTTAGCAGTTGTCTTTTTTAATAAGTTTCTGGTAACTGTCAGCTGTCAACAAATTAATAGCGATTGTCTCAGTCGCACAGGGTGTGTGCCGGGGTTGGGGCACATGTCCAGCCTCATGTCAGAGTTATGAATACCAATACATTGAATTTGTGTGAACGCGGCACTGTGTAAGTACGTAATATAAGTCACATATTCTGTAGAAAACCAGTTAGACCCCTTGCTAAGGAGGCTGACTAAACTAAACAGAATAAAGAATGAACAGCCTGTTTCCTCAGAAATCTGGCAAAACACTCACAAAAGAACAAGACGGTGGGGATGGGAGTGGCAGGAGAGCAGGACCACAACTTCCAGCCATAGTTCAGGGGTGCATCCCTGAAGGAGCCCTGGACAAGGGAGAGACCTGGAGGGAATGCTGACACAGAGAAGGGACCGTGGGACAAATGCCACCTCCTTCCCGCATGCATCGCAGTGCTTGTGGGTCCCACAGACCACAGTGTAGACAGGCTCACAGGGCCTTGGCGGGCAGACACTCCTGCAAGCTCCCACCACATTCTCACTACACCCTGTGGCCTTGTCAAAGGAAAGGACCAGTAGTGAGAAGAGAAAATGCCAGTATTTTAAGAAACAAATCTCTGAAGATCGTGAAGGCTCCTCACTCTGATGATGTTTTTGGTGGGTACAAAAAGTAGGTTTTATATACAAGCAATGATCAAAAATACAGTGAATGTTAAATTTTAAAATCTGTCTTAGGAAGACACTATGATCCCCCTCTCTTCGAATACACTTATAGTTCTTGATGCTTTCCTGGAGTGTCTTTATTAGGTGTGATCACATATTCGGTTAATGTCTCTGTCAAGCTGAAAGGCAGGCTCATAAAGACATTATATTGTGGGTTCGTCCAGTGTATTCACCAGACCTGGTACTGTGTGGCTTCCAGGTTTTCTGCCAAGTCAAGATGACCATGAAAGGTAAATATCTGAATAGATTCAGTACAGCCAGGCAGCAGGACAGGACCACTAAAGACTCGTACAAAAGAGCACTCCAGAGCTGCTGCAGGAACGGACAGGAATGATGGGACCGGTGTGTCTGAAATGGGGACTGGAGGCCGCGCAGTCATCTGTACTGTAATACGGTTTCTCAATGGAAGCACTCATTTTTATCACACCTTATATAAACCGCGAGTCAGAGGAAGTCAGGAAGGAGCTGTGATAAATGCGGGTGCAAGTAATGAGGTGTAGCTGAGAGGTCAGGGAAACATGGCGAGACGGCAAGCTGCAGGCTGGAATGTCTGTCTCGCTGACCACTGAAGTCAGTACTGTGACTACAACCACAAGCACATCTATGTCTTCCTGATTTGTTCTTTCAATAGATATCTGTGTTTCCATTGTGTGTCACACCCTGTCCTGGATGATGAAGGAACAAGCATGGAAAAGACAAAGTCCTGACCAAGGCGGCACACATTAGTGGCTGATACAAAACAAGGAAAATGTGTGAAGTGTGAAGAAAAGTAAAAGAGCAGAAGGAGAGATAGGAAGTGAGGAAAGCTGCCAGCTCTTAGAGAGCCGTGGGAAATGGGGCATCTGAGCTGGTGTCCAACAGCATTAGATGAAGAGGTCCTGGGACGCTGTGGGTGGGCTTTACAGTGAAAAGGAATAGCATGAAACCTGAAAAAGCCCTGAGCAGGGCCGAGGATTTAGCTCATCGGTTCCACTGCCTGCCTCGCAAGCCCAAGGACCTGAGTTCAGTCCCTGATTTACCATCTTTTACACACACATGGCTCCTCTCAAAAAAGAAAAAATAATAATAAAAAAAAAGCTTTGAGTAGAGACTTGCCTCGCACATCCCAGGAACAGCCAGAAGGCCAGTGAGAATGCAGGGGAAGACTGAGACCAGAGAGGTCCTGCGGACACATGCTAGAAGCCTTATATATATAGGTTTCTTTTGTATTCATTTTATTCTAAAATGTAACGGGGAGCCGTGCGTGGTGGCGCACGCCTGTAATCCCAGCACTCGAGAGGCTGAGGCAGGCGAGTGCTGTGAGTTCGAGACCAACCTAGGCTACATAGTGAGTTCCAGCTCAGTCTCAACTACATAATGAGACCCTGTCTCAAAAAACCCAAAAAAAAATATAATAATAATAATAATAATAATAGTGGGGAAGCCTTTGAAGGATGTTGGATTTTTAAATTTTTTTAAGGAAACTCTGTTGGATGGAAAATATGTCAAGAGAGTCAGGATGGAAGCGAGGAGACCATTCATAGTGTCTTGCTGTAACCCAGGCCACAGCTCATATGGCAGACAAGACAGTGAAGAATGCTGAATTCAGTCCATATCAAGATGGCTCCCTGATGGATGGGTGTTAACAAAGAGAAGCGTTGTAAAGTTCAACAGCTAAGCAATAAACACATGCGAGTGCTATTCCAGAAAGATACACGCTATAGAAAGAGATGACTTGCTGGGGGGAAATATAGTCTGGCGTTAGTGTGTTAAGTTTCAGGTGCCTAGTCGGGCACAGGAGTCTGGGGAGGACAGAGGTTAGAAAACACACTTGAGAGTTGTCACCATATGTTTGGTACCTTGAGACATGAGTTTGGGTGACACAGGGCTTGACACATAATAAATACTCATTCTCTTTTCTAACTGTGAAAAAAAAAGAAAATTCCAGTCGTGGTGCCATGAAACTAGTGAGTTATGCTATAGAAGGACAGACAGGATCTTAACAGAATGAAGGGCAGATGCACCCAGGGAATAAAAAACAGTGCAAAGTACAGCCAGGAAGCAGAGAGGAGCCATGTGTGTGCAGAAGATGGTAAATCACTTAGTGACTGAGGCATGGGCTTCTTCTGGAAAAGTGCTAAAAGACAGTCATGGAAACTCAGGGCTACAGGGTTGGAAACCAGACTTGGAATCTACTCAGGGCAAGGGAACCTTCTAGACTTCTACGCAGGGATCTGATACAGTGCAATGCGAGAAGTACTCATGACTATTCGACGCGTGCAGAATACTTTTGAAAGATATAAAAATAAGACTTTGGTAAATCGGGAAGGAAGCTATTATTTTTAAAAATCCACATGACTCAAAATATTGAAGTTTTTTAAAGTCATTAAAGTATGTTTTGGAAATACCAAGTGTATTAAGAGATAAGGTACAGTATTGGGAAAGCTCAGCCCTTCTGTTCAGGACCTTCTATGAGTAACTGCTTTAAATTAAAAAATGAAGCCAAGAATAATCTATCTTTAAATTAGAGTTTAGACAGGACAATCTCTAGTTCCTCATAAAGTGAATATTGCTTTTTACTCAATGCTATATTAAATGCTACATTAATGCTTAATAAAGTATGGCTCTGATGCTTTAAATTAAAAAGCAGAGATTTTTCTGTCAGACTTCTCACTCTCTCTCACCTTCTGTTGTGGAGGTGGATAATTCTGCTGTTAGTTTTATGACTGCTAGAGATGGAGGCCTTTAAAAAACAGAACAGTTCTCAAACTCACCGAAAACATTTTTAACATGTGAATGTTCCTTATGTCTTTTGCTTTCAAAATAAAACAATTCTTTCTTACAGAGACATGTGACACAGTCTGGGGGTAATCGTAAATTCAAGTGCACTGAATGTGGAAAGGCTTTCAAATACAAACACCATCTAAAAGAGCACTTAAGAATTCACAGTGGTAAATATTTGTTCTCTTTCTCAATCCTGAATGTTGTAGCATCTGTGGTAATCTACTACATCTTATGATTTACCTACATATTCAAAAACTGCTTGCTTTTCTTTTAGGGTAAAGACCAATACGGATTATCTAAAATGTACCAATAAATGTTTTGCTTCCAAAAAATGACCGATATGGAGAAATTTTCTGTATATAAATTGTAGTAGCATCTTAAACTTTGACTAAAGTATATCAAATTGATATGCCATTCCAGATTTCCTAATCAGAAGATAATATAGCACGTTTAGCAGGTATAAACTGAGTCACTTCAGTTTTCTGATGAATGTTAATTTCACTGTCTCCTTTGTGTAGAGGTAAAATTTACAGAAGGAAATAAGGAGATGAACGTGGCCTTTACCTGAGAAAAGGAGAAATGAAACTCAGGAAACTCAGAGAAGTGCTGCTGAGTCAGTGAGCAGGGACAGCACGAGTGTGCAGAGAACCACAACATTAATGTGCATTTAGAAGAAAAATGCGTTCCCATCATCTGCACCTTTCTGGCCCACATCATTTTCTAAATAATTATAAAATGAATGTATGTGATAGATGATATAGAAACATGATAAACAAGGAAGGCTGTGTTTGCATTTCTTTCAAGATTCTACTTAAAGCTTAGAAAGAACAACTAATAGCTTCCTACATCGCACACTACAATCTGTTCATCTGCTTATCGGTTTTGCTGCACTATTTCAGATATAAATTACTTTAATGAAAAATTAAGCAGTGAATGAGAAAACAGTGATGTCTAGACATTGCTTATTACTTTGTGGAAACTGTTGTATTGACATTTACATTTCACAAATGCCCTCCCGTCCAAAAGAACAGCTGGGTGGCTTTGCAAGTGGCGATTGGCGGTGCCTGTGGTGTATTCTGCATTGTGCTTCTCGAGGTTTTATTGTATTGCTCACTGAGGTTAACTCCCTGTGATAAGTACGCTAAACTTACCACTCGGACATGTTCAAACCAAGATTCCTAAACAGCATTTGTTTCCACCTACTGATTAACGTTTCTGAAAAGTGAAGGTTGTTGCAGCCTGCCAGAGTATCCTGTTTCTTAGTTCCTGTGCTATGGGACAATTGCCATCAATAATAAAATCTTATCATCACCTACCATTTGCTAAAAATTACTGAAGTTGTTAATAGATAGAGCTAATTCAAGTGAGCTTTAAAAGTGTTTAAGGTAAAGGAAGGAAAAAGAAAATGGTAAGATTCATGTTATAGCTGTATGTAGAATTTATCAGATGATACAAACTTGAGAAGCATAGGTTCTACCAAGGATTGCGGTACTCATCTAGACACAAGAAGTTGAAACTTAATTACAAAATCCTGGAGTAGTATTCAAAATTCTCAGTCAGGTAGTAAATCCGGGTGGTCAAGACCTTAATGTGAGCTCAGATGCACCACTGCTGAACAGCCAGTGCCAGATGGTGGAACAGAAACTCCCGCTGTGCTCTCCACTGTTCATTAATTATGTGCTTATATCTTATTCTTGAAATTATCTAATATGAGGCTTGTATACCTTTAATTCAGCAGGTAAATTGATTCAGAATGATTTAAGAAAAATTAAGACTATTCTTCCAGATACTAAGTCTACAGAAAAGTTGGTCTTTGTAGCATCATAAAGAAGGGCAAAGTACAACTTAAGACATCCTCAGAACTATCATTAACATAATTCAGCAGAGAATTTGATAGCATTTTCTTTTTTAAATCAGATTTTTAATAGAAGCCAACAATATTTTATCAAAGTGCAATTTAGAAAAAGCATTTCTGCAGGGTGGCCACTTGAACACTGTCCAAGTCTTTCCCTGATGGTCTGGTTTATGCCAAGGGAAGATTTTCGAGCAGGGCTACCCCAAGAGTCAGCTGAGGACTGGTGCAGTGCCAGGCTGAAAACCCTGTGTAACTGCTTCCTGAAGAAAACAGAATTGAAACTAAGCATTTAAAAACTATTACACCAAGATACTGCTAGAACATTTTCATATATTTTACAAAATATTAGTTAATAGTAAGTAGATTGTGTGGAACTAGTAGGGGCTGAACTTAGGAAACCTCTGTCACACTTTTTTCTCAGATGGGCTTTTAAAGGGCGTGGAGGATCAAGATCCAAATTGACATTCCCTAAAGTTGCCTGGATATTGCTCTGCTCAGGTACCCATAAAACCTTAATAATGAGCCTGTGCAGAATCAGGTGTGTTCAGTCATGTGAACTCTGCATGTAGGAGCCAAGCTCTGATAAGGAGGCCACCACACTTCCATTCAGAGACGAGACAAAGAGCCACCTGCACATAGGGGAGGGTCCTCCTTGGGAAATAACTTCTTGTTTCACAGTTTTAGTAAATTTAGCCTGGAAAATATTTACATCTGATGCATCCAAATACCCACCTGAGCCATCTAAAACCGCTCAAGACTCATGTTATATCTAACTTTGGGTAGAGGGAAGCTTACTGGTACATCCTCCAGGCTAAACTCGTTGCAAACCTTAAAGTGGGTAAATTACTTGATGAGCTTAAGGTATAAACCATACAGTTACGAGATTATAAACAGTTTTCTAACATAATAACTTTGACTTTTGAATAATTATTCTGTAAGCTTTCTTACTTGCAATGATGAAATATCAAGGTAATTCCGAACAATCAGAATAATGAAAGCCAGACTTTATTAAATACCTATTTGCTGTCACTAGTTCTCTATTACACTAACATCTATAGTCCTCAAATAAACTAAGAGGTCTTTTATGTTATATCCCTGTTGTGGAGAAAATGGAGACTTAAGAGTTCAATTGACTTGTCCACGTTCACTCAGCTAAAACATGGCAAAGCCGGAGCTCATGGTGGCTTCCTGACTCCCGCCTTGCCCATTATTCGTGACCTCCGTGTTTGTAAAGATAAAATAGTCTACATTAGGAATGTTTTATCTTCCTACCGTGTCTGCAAAGATACTAGTGTAACTCACCTAAAATTTTATTAAGTAGTTAAAAATACTAAAAGAGATACTCTAGAACACATCCCTTGTTTATCTCCATGGGGCACTTTTATCTAGCGGCATTCTGAGTATTGAATCCTATCCCAGGCACTCCACTGGGAAGATACGGATACGTTGATACTGATAAACAAGCAGGTAAAGTTCTGAAAACTATGTCCTGCAAGGAGTGTTTAAAGCTCACTAACATTTGCTTAGTGCATACTTTGAGTTTGCTGTACCCCCTCGTACGCCCCTAGAACAGCCCAGGGAGAACGTGTCCACGCCTGCACAGCATCACACTGAGGCCGGCAGAGGTCAAGAGAACAGTACGTGACAGAGCCTAACTCTGACCCCACATCCACGGTGCCTTCTGTAGAGTGGGGAACCCCCATTACCAGGGGTTTCACAAGACTGACTCGCGTCAGGACAATATAAAGTAAATCCACTGTGGGAAAATAATCTTATTAGAAGGCTCTTTAGATCCCTTCCTACTATCTAATTCTTCAAATATTCCCGTTTCTGAGAAAACAACTATTTAAACTTTACAGCATGAAACTTACTTTATTAGTAGCACTTACATTCACTTTCTCATGGCTTTCATTCTAATTCTTTAAAAGAAAGTTTTATTATACTACTGAGTAGGCAAATCAGTATCAAATTTCATAATTCGAAATTAGCCATCACTCTTCTAAAAATGTTTAATAAGCATCTTTTAACCTGTATTGTGATAAGTGCAAGGGATAAATGGCAAACAAGATCCAGAAGCCCCCAACTTATTGGAACTATAAATTGTAAATGTAACGAACTATAACTATAAATTTAACTAAAATGAAAAAATAGGCTTATAGAAAAATATCCCATTTAGCTCAGTACTTCTCCAAATTGCCACACTATCTCTGATGGTCAAGGAGAATAAATGTCCCGTACCTCGGGGAGCCTTCACAAACAAGATGTTTCTTTGACATCATGTTGTTTTTCTTGCCAGTTCATATGAGTATCGTATGCTGTCCTCAATAACCAGTCTCACAGAGACTGAAATTCTAAGAGGTTTTGCTTATCTACTAGAACGTATCTCCTAGAACCTTTCTGGTAGGAGGTATAAAAGACAGTCCAGCTTAATAAGTCCATGATTATAGCAATACCTTATAGTACAGTTTTCCTCCACTCAGGAAAGGGGATCCCCCCAATGAAACCATATGGAAATGGGCAGAGCATTCTTATCAGTCAAGGATACTCATCGTTAAATCATGGACTGTAGTTACTTTTCTTTCCCGTAATACTACTTTCTCCTACAGATGGTTGAGTAGAGTGAAATACTGAAAATTATGTAGGGTGATGAAAGAGAATAAGAAAAAATCTTCAGGAGTAAGATTAAATCATGATATTTGAGAATTATTTGAAGTTATAAAGGTTGGGAGAACAATTATTATATACCTGTGCTGCGAAGACTGGTTAGGGCGTGTAGTTCAAACTATGTATGTCATTTGAATTTTAAAGTCATGATTCTAAATAAAATCACAGGCATACACAGTAACCTTGCTTTTTTGTGTTGATATTGCTTATTTTAGGTAAAATATAAATACATCAAATTTATACATAATAATTCAGTGACTGTGTTTTTTTGTTTAGGAGAGAAGCCATATGAATGCCCAAACTGCAAGAAACGTTTTTCTCACTCTGGTTCCTATAGCTCACACATAAGCAGTAAGAAGTGTATCAGCTTGCTGCCTGTGAACGGGAGACCAAGAACGGGACTCAAGACATCGCAGTGTTCCTCACCGTCTCTCTCGGCATCACCAGGGAGTCCCACACGGCCACAGATAAGGCAAAAAATAGAGAATAGACCCCTTCAAGAGCAACTCTCTGTAAACCAAATTAAAACTGAACCTGTGGATTATGAGTTCAAACCCATAGTGGTTGCTTCAGGAATCAACTGTTCAACCCCTTTACAAAATGGGGTTTTTAGTGGTGGTGGCCCATTGCAGGCAACCAGTTCTCCTCAGGGTGTGGTGCAAGCTGTTGTGCTGCCAACAGTTGGTTTGGTTTCTCCCATAAGTATCAATTTAAGTGATATTCAGAATGTACTTAAAGTGGCAGTAGATGGTAATGTAATAAGACAAGTTTTGGAGAATAATCAAGCCAATCTTGCATCCAAAGAACAAGAAACAATCAGTGCTTCATCCATACAACAAGGTGGTCATTCTGTTATTTCAGCCATCAGTCTTCCTTTGGTTGATCAAGATGGAACAACCAAAATTATCATTAACTACAGTCTTGAGCAACCTAGCCAACTTCAAGTTGTTCCTCAGAATTTGAAAAAAGAAAACCCAGTCCCCACAAACAGTTGCAAAAGCGAAAAGTTACCAGAAGATCTTACTGTTAAATCTGAGAAGGACAAAAGCTTCGATGGGGAAGTGAGTGATAGCACTTGTCTTCTGTGTGATGATTGTCCAGGCGACCTTACTGCACTTCCAGAATTAAAGCACTATGATGTAAAGCAGCCTGCTAGGCCTGCTCCACTCCCTGCCCCAGAGGCTGAGAAGTCCGAGTCCTCTGTTTCATCAGGTACTGGAGATGGCAATTTGTCTCCCAACCAGCCACCTTTAAAGAACCTCTTGTCTCTCCTAAAAGCCTATTATGCTTTGAATGCACAACCAAGTGCAGAAGAGCTCTCAAAAATTGCTGATTCTGTAAACCTACCCCTGGATGTAGTTAAAAAGTGGTTTGAAAAGATGCAAGCTGGACAGATTTCAGTGCAGTCTTCTGAACCATCTTCTCCTGAACCAGACAAAATAAATTTTCCTGCAAAGAACGATGATCAGCCACAGTCTGCAAATGCAGAGGAACAACCCCAGGACAGCAAAACAACTCTGCAGAGTCCTCCGAAGACAACACCCTCCCCAGCTCCCCCCGTGGGCTCAGCCACGAATGGTTCCAGAAGCAGTACACCATCCCCATCACCTCTGAACCTTTCCTCAGCCAGAAACACGCAGGTCTATCCCTATGCAGCAGAGGGTGCGCAAGAAGAGCCCCAAGTAGAACCTCTCGATCTTTCACTACCAAAGCAGCAGGGAGAATTACTGGAAAGGTCTACCATCACTAGTGTTTACCAGAACAGTGTTTATTCTGTCCAAGAAGAACCCTTGAACTTGTCTTGTGCAAAAAAGGAGCCACAAAAGGACATTTGTGTTACAGACTCAGAACCAGTTGTAAATGTAATCCCACCAAGTGCCAACCCCATAAATATCGCTATACCTACAGTCACTGCCCAGTTGCCCACAATTGTGGCCATTGCTGACCAGAACAGTGTTCCATGCTTACGAGCTCTCGCTGCCAATAAGCAGACCATTCTGATTCCCCAGGTGGCTTACACATACTCAGCGACCGTCAGCCCTGCCGTCCAGGAACCACCCTTGAAAGTGATCCAGCCAAATGGAAATCAGGTAAACACATCCCTGTCCATTCCTAAAATGCTAGCTTGACTAACTTCAGTTAAAGGTTTGTAATTAAAAAAATTTCAGTCACTGTAGGGTCAGCTAGGTTGTTAGAAACTGTCATATTTAAAAGGAATGAAAAATAAAAGGAATAGATCAATGTTTGCTTTAGCTTTTGTGACTTCAAGGTATTAGCATCAAAAAGTTTAATGTGTTACTGTGCTGTGAACATATGTTTCACAAATACCTATCTGAGATTAGAAACAAAAGAGAAAAGAAAATTTGGGATACTTATTAATTGGATTTCTCTTCTTACACAGTTAAACTCCCCAAATTAATAATAGTCTCTTCCTGATTGTGGTCATTTTCCCTTTCTTGACTGTAATTCAGATTCAGCTACCACTCTTTTGTGCCAATGCCTCCATCTATAAAAGGCTTTAATTAAATAAGTATGCATAGAACTCAGCTAGTTTATCGATCCTTTTATTAGCTGTGAAAAAAACCATTTTCAGTCATAATTAATGTATGAGGAAACATGGCAATGAATTTCTCTCTTCCTTTTTTTGGTACTGGTGATCAAACTCAGAACCTTGTGCTTACGAGGCAGACATGGCACCACTGAGCTAAATTCCCAGCCCCTCTTTAACTTTTTCCAAATCTCCAAGATCACTTCGGATACAGCTGTGTTGTGTAGCTATTTTGTCTCATTGTCTAGGATTTCTTTTCATGTCACTAACCTTCATATCTTACTTTTTTCCCCATCATTTCCTGATTGGATGTAATGAATATAAGAAATTAATATTTGATCTTTAAAGCAAATACTTGTTATAAGAGGTACCGACTGTAATAGCAATATCCTATCACATATGTATTTTGTTGCTTTTATTTTCCCCTAATGTGGCTACTGAGTTCCCTGAAATTGTAATAACTCTTGGAAAAAAAACTTGCACACAACTAGTGAATTCATTGTAATCTTCAGTGAATCGAACACTTTGCACACTTTTGAATTTAAAAAAAGAGCCACTTTTGCCAGGTGTCGTGGCGCACTCCCATAATCCCAGCACTCAGGAGGCTGAGCCAGGAGGATCGCTGAGTTCAAGACCAGCCTGGGCTACATAGTGAGACCCTGTCTCAAAAACAAAAAAAAAAAAGTAAAAATAAATTTAAAAAGAGCCACTTTTAACTTCCACATAATCATGTGACTAGACTGAATGCAAGGAAAGCAGAGTTCCTTCAGCGTCCATGGCAGCACACAGTGACCCCAATAAATGGCTGCATCGCTCCTGCCTAAGAAAGCCAGAAGAGATCTGGGGAACTTGGAACTTGTAGCAAATTTGTAGGTTTAGAGGCAACAGAATGGAAAACTCTAGAAAAGGGCACAAAGAACTGAGTTGTCCTAGTTCTGTAACCGTCTCCAGGCAGTATTCTATCTACAGTTGAGCCTCCTGCCAGATTACTTCCCTGAGTGCCTGATACTTCATTCTGCTGGCATTAAAGGTTCCTTCTGACAAGTGCTGTTCAACCACATGGACCCTTGCAAGCTGCTGCTCACCTCACATCAGAGTGGAGAGTCGACCTCTTTTCAGGGAGACCACAGCACTGGTTCAGTCTTTAGAAGGCCCAGAAAGTATCATTTAAAGACAACTTTTAAAAAGCTGAATCTTATTTTTTTTTTTGTATAGTGAAATCCAGAATGAAAAACAAAGGAAAATAATGCAGTTAGAAATTAGCAATTAGCAAACTCTTAGGTTAAAGCTTTCTGCAGATTTATCACAAACCAAGTACACAAGTTGCATTCTTTTTAGCTCCTTTTCACTGTTACAGTGGAGCTCGCTCCGCTGCAGCTGCCTGTGGTGATGAGCGGTGTACTTGTGGTTGGGTGGTGGGAAGCATAAATCGGAGTTTTCACCTCTACTTTATTTACATTTCTTATTTATGTTTTAATATGAAATTGAATTTTAATTTGAAGCCTTTTTTTCCTAGGATGAAAGGCAAGACACTAGCTCAGAAGGAGTGTCCACTGTGGAAGACCAGAATGACTCTGACTCCACGCCACCTAAAAAGAAAATGCGGAAGACAGAGAACGGGATGTACGCTTGTGACTTGTGTGATAAGATTTTTCAGAAGAGTAGCTCATTACTGAGACATAAATATGAACACACAGGTAGGTCAGTGAACACAGGTCATTTTTAAAGTGGCTGTGATATGATTGGAGATGATATGCTGAAATGCTGAGTTAAAAGCTAAAGCTCTTAGAAGTTTTCCCTTTTTGAATTTCATCACTTTTACCTGTCTTCCCATTTCTACGTAGCAGTCAAGCTCTGTGCCCTTTGGTGGGGGGGTGCTTTTTCTGTTCCTTCAATAGCTTAATTATTTACATTGGCATGGATTTATTCTGTCGACATGGATTTAATGAAGTTTATACTGTATTGATAAAAATACAGTATCCATTAATAAAAATATGTGGCCAGTTGGAAGAAGCTATAGGAGACAGGACCTAGCTTCATAGAAGAAAAAGCTGCTTCACTGATGCGCAGCTTCCTGTCCTGACAGGTCATGGGCTCTGTATCAGTCGCCTGTCTATCAAGGAGACAAATACCTCATTCCAACAGCTTGCTTGCTGAAGCAGAGGCTTATTGCGGCTCCTGGTTTCCGAGGGCTCTGTCCATGGTGGGCTGGCTGCAAGGCAGAGACAGCACGGTGCAAGGGCCTGGGCAGGAAGCTGCTCATCCCAGGACATCCAGGAGGCCGAGAGGGAAATAACAGCAGATCTTCCTGGCCTCGTCCCAGAGGCTGCTTCTGAGGAGGCCTTACCGGGGCAGCACTGTGAACGCCTCGTGGGCTGACCCACTGATGACCACAGCGTCCCCACGAGCCAGTCCCTTCCCAGAGCCCCGCCTTTGAGCACACGAGACCTTCGAGGGTCATGTTAGATCTCAACGCTAAAGGCTCTTTGTCTCAGAGGTTTCAGACGGATCTTTTGTACTATAGAACAAACTTCTGCCTAGAGGTCACACTAGATAATTCTACGATCTCGCTGACTGAGATTCTATAATTAAATTCCTCCACAAAATACAACTTCTTTCGCTTGCGGCCTGGTGGCTAAGATCAAGTGTGGCACAAAACATACACCTCTTAGGCTAACTCAGAAATTGGCAAGTTGTGGCTCACAGCCCTGTTGTGGGCCTTCGCCTATTTTCCTGGGGCCTGTGAGCTGAGAACAGTGTTTAGTGCTTGAAAAAAAGATGGAAATAATGTGATACATGAAAACTATTTGAGAAAGAATATTTCAGCATCCTCTGAATAAGGTGTTACTGGAACACAGGCTTGCCCGTTCGTTCGCTTGTTGTCTGTGGCCACTTTGCTGCTGTTCTGTACTGGCAGAACCTGAGTAGTGATTTCTGAGGCCACTTAGCCTAGCATACTCTAAAATATCCACCGTCTGGCTGCTACAGAAAACACTTGTCAACCTGATTGCATCTGCCCAGCACAGTGCTGGCGAGTTGTAACAACCGAGGGAGGAAGCCCTGCTGGATAATGTTCACAGACGTATGTGGCCTGAGTACTCCCACCGTGGCCGATTTCCAGCTCAGATCCACTCTGTCAGCTGCAGAGACCCTGATGATCAGCAGTAGACATCTCCTAGCCAATCACCGCACACCACTGTTTCTCCCTACAGAGGATACGCAGAAAGGGTTGCATGTGTCATGAGCCCTACCCTGCCAGTCATTCTAGCTACGGTATCCATATGTATCTCTGATATTCTTATCAGCACATTAATTCATTCACTTTAGCTAGTTTTGTATCTGTCTATTCAATGATACATGCAACGATGGGAGGGCAGTTCTTGGAGTTAAAAACCAGCGCATGAGAGCAAGCCATACCTCTCAAGACAAATCCCTTACAATACATTCCTCTAGTTGTTTTCATTGAGACCTAAGGAATATTAGAAAATGTCCTGCTTTGGGCAAGCATTAAATATTAGCAAATAGCAGCATGGAAAGTACACTGTCCATAAAATAAAATTAAATCATTTCTGCATTTGTTAGCGTTACTGCTCGATAGCCCTGAAGTTGGACATTACCAGTCTTGATTGTAATTCAGTTGTTGGCTTTTTTCACGTATGGACAGCAGCATTTCTCCAGCCCATGCATGCTCAGTAGCAGCCAAATTCCCCTCAAGCAACAACACTAGTTTCTTCCCGGGGACAAAAATTGGATGCTATAATAGTTTGTAGGTTTTCTTAAGGATCTTGGCGTATAAACTCTATGTACTTGAGCTTTGTCATATACAAACCATAGAAAAGACATTAAAACTTTATTAGAGGGAGGGAAAATGTCTCTGAAAAAATGTCTAAAAAGGTCCTTAAAGGCAATAATGAAAAACCAAGTTGAGAAACCTCTCTGACCCTCCTTGCCTCTACCGTGTACACTGCCGATGTCTCATCAGAGCTCCAGTTCACTGGCATGATGCATGAGTGCCTGGCATTTCAGTGTCATACAGTTCCTGTCGGCCTCACCTGCAAAGCAGATTATATAGCACTGAGTGTCCCTGTCTAGCTGACAAGCTAGTATAATACTGCAGTACGTGACGTTGGAACTTGCTTTACCTGATAGCACCATGTTATTTCATAGCTGTGTTCTTACCTTGCAGGTAAGAGACCCCACGAGTGCGGAATCTGTAAAAAGGCGTTTAAACACAAACATCACTTGATTGAACACATGCGATTACATTCGGGAGAAAAGCCCTACCAATGTGACAAGTGTGGAAAGCGCTTCTCACACTCCGGATCTTATTCTCAACACATGAATCATCGCTACTCGTACTGCAAAAGAGAAGCAGAGGAAAGAGACAGCACAGAGCAGGAAGAAGTGGGGCCGGAAGTGCTGACGAACGAGCGAGTCGGCGCCAGGGCGTCTCCCTCCCAGGCCGACTCAGATGAGCGGGAGAGTTTGACAAGGGAAGAGGATGAAGACAGCGAAAAGGAGGAGGAGGAGGAAGAGGAGGAGGAGGAGGAGGATAAAGAGGCAGAAGAATTGCAGGAAGAGAAGGAATGTGACAAACCACAGGGGGAGGAGGAAGAGGAAGAAGAGGTCGATGAAGAGGTGGAAGAGGCGGAGAATGAGGGAGAAGCGGCGAACACTGAAGGTGCAGTGAAGGGTGATGGAGCTGCAAGCCCAGGGAGCAGCTTAGAACAAAAAGCGAACGAGGATAGTGAGCACGTGTCTGAAGAAAAAACAAACGAAGCCTAATAGTTTTTCTAGAAAGAAAACAAATTCTGATTGGTAATGAAGTTTGTTCTATATTATCCATGCTTTTCATGGAAGCACAGTAACCTGTATACTGTGATTCCTGTTCACTACTGTGTAAAGTAAAAACTATAAAAAAAAAAAAAATGCTCACAAAAAAAAAAATTCCGGGTGTGCCTGAATCACAGACCTAGTAATTTTTCATGCAGTTTTCAAAGTTAGGAACAAGTTTGTAACATGAAGCAGATTAGAAAACTTTAAGGACTCAGAAAGCAAAGATTTAATAGGTTACAGGAAACATAATTAGTCAAGCATATGACATTGTTTCGTTTTATCAGTATTATCACTCTTATGTTGGTTTATTCTTATGCTGTACAATTGGGAGAAATTTTATAATTTTTTATTGGTAAACATGTTTAAAGCTAAAGCTAAATCCGCTTCAGTATTTTATTATGTTTTTTAAAATGTGAGAACTTCTGCACTACAAAATTCCCTTCAAGAGAAGTATAATGCAGCTCCGAACCATGCTACTACCTTTTATAAATTCAATCTAGAAGGTAGTCATTTCTAATATTTAGACGTCACAGTAGAGCATATTATCATTTAAAGTATTGTTAGCCTTAAGAAAGCAGCTGATAGAAGAACTGAAGTTTCCTCCTCGTGATTTTAAATGGAGTTCAAAAGATTGTCATTGAGTTCTGATTGCAGGGACTAACAGTGTCGATACTGGTGAGGACAGCGACGTCGTCAGAGTCAGTGTTCGTGATTGTGTTGGAGTATGTGGTAACAAATATGAGGGATATGATTATGAAGCTTTGTATCTCCTTTGGCCTTAAGCAAGACCTGTGTGCTGTAAGTGCCATTTCTCAGTATTTTTAAGGCTCTAACCCGCCTTCATTCAGTGTGTGGCCTACAATAACTAGCATTTGTTGATTTATTTATCGTATCAAAATTCCCAAATAAAACAAAACCACTGATTCTGTCAGAGAAACTAAAACACTGGGACATTTCATCCTTTGATTCTTCAGTATTCACTCTGTGTTCATTGATTTTCAGAATTTCTCTGCAGAAACTAAAGGGAAATTTTCTAATCTGCTTTATCCATGTATTTGCATTTCGGCCATGGACACGCCATTATTATTTGGCTCATAACAGTTTCCAAATGTTAGTTATTATGGACCCAACTTATTAACAACATTAGCTGATTTTTACCTATCAGTATTATTTTATTTCTTTTAGTTTATAGATCTGTGCAACATTTTTGTACTGTATGTCTTCAAACCTGGCAGTATTAATACCCTTCTTACTGACATTGTACTTTTAGTTTTAGAAAACTTTTATATTTATGTGTCTTATTTTTATATTTCTTTATTTATTACACAGTGTAGTGTATAATACTGTAGTTTGTATTAATACAATAATATATTTTAGTATGAAAATTTGGAAAGTTGATAAGATTTAAAGTAGAGATGCAATTGGTTCTCTTGCATTGAGATTTGATTTAACAGTGTTATGTTAACATTTATACTTGCCTTGGACTGTAGAACAGAATTTAAATGGGAATGTATTAGTTTTACAACTACAATCAAGTCATTTTACCTTTTCCCAGTTTTTAATATAAAACTTCAATTTTGAAATTCACTGTGTGACTAATAGCATGACGCTCTGCAGTTTTACTAAGAGATTAGCCTAACCATGAAAGTCTTATTTCCTTAGCAAGCCAAATTAGAGTTACCTTATATAAACAGTGTTGGGAACAATGTTTAACATTTCGTGCCAATTTGTTCCTGTATTCATGTATGTAAGTTACCAATCTGACTCTTCATTTTTAAGTTCCTTGTTACACCATGGTCATTTTCTAGTTTTTTACCAGATTCCCCATCTCACAATAAAATGCATCAACAAGCCTGACTTGCTGTCATTCTTTCATCATTATCAAGATTTTCTTTGGAAAACTCTGCGGCTGGGGTATTACACTGTCATCCTGCACTCAGGTCATCTTGAGCTGAACGTTTAGAATTACAACGCAACCGTGCGTTTTCACAGTGTGGCCGAGTGTTTCTGGCGAGGCCCAGGCGGCCGCAGACGTCCTCCTCCGCAGAGCTCGCTCCTTCTTCCCTCGTGAAACCCTTGCCCCGCCTCTTCTGATCCTGAGGTCCCCTCAGGGCTGCCCGGGACAGCGCCTTCTCACGTCTGCATCCTGATCCCCTTACTGTCACGTACACCCCGTCCCCCACAGGCACCCTATCATCCTCACTCACGTGTCGCTGCCCGGTGCAGTGCGGTGCCTAGCACAGTCGGTACAACAGATACTTGTTGGGTGAAAATATAATCTGCATGTTTATAGAGCTCAGCTATGCTTTAATTATTTGTTTTGCTTTTTATCTCAGAAGATACGTTAAATGATTCCAGTAATTTAATTTTCTTATTTAGGGCTTATGAAGTACTAGGTTTAATAGACATAATAAATTATTACTTCTTTTACTGTTCTGGTTTGTTGAGATTTTGTTTCTGAGCGTCTTCCTGGTGTTTATGGTGCATTGCACACACATTCCAGGCTGGTGGATTTGCACACCTCCCCTCGGAACGGCCAGACCGGTCCTCTTAGGTACTGTCTGTGTGGAGCTGCTCCCCACCCTAGGGCCCGCATTCCTAGATGCTCATCATCATTCTGTTGCCCGATTTCCTGTCACTAAGAATAGCTATCCAGTAAGTAATTTCTGTTATGAGATTAAAAATCAGCCACCCTTCATAGGAGGTACCCATGCTGTAATGACTGTAGTATAAAGCTCAAAGAGGACAGTGCTAGGTTCATATGGGTAAGTGGCCCATAAAGGAATTTAGGCGATGTCAGAAATTTTTAAAAGCAAAGTACATGTGGATCCTTCTCAGGATGCTACCAATCATGTAACTAATAATGATACTAGTGCCTTGTTACCTTGTTACTTATTTGTGCCACGTAACAGTGTTTTGCTACTGTTATCAAAATTAGTTTTTCAAAAAAGCTTTAAAAGAAAAAGCCATGTGCCCATAAATACATATACAGTAACAGAATAAGGATTTTAACAGACCTGCCTGAATCCAAGCTCCATACTCTTAGTGTACATTTCTGACACGAAAAGTCATACAGGCTCCCTACATTTGGACTCAAGCCCGGCCTTAATGGAAAGTATCCACAAGACCAATACATGTTATAGTACGGTAGAAAAGGGCATGAGGTCTTTTGCGTCTGTGCAAACTCCAGACAACTTGGGAGAGTGGTACTGAGGAGCAGCGATTAAAAATGAAAGTGTTACCTTAGGGTGCACATCTTAAGATAAATGGGTATATTAGAATAAATAGTATATTACAGCTGTCTCTGACCAAAAACCAAACAGCAGAACCCATAGAAATACCTCTGTTCCACTAAATGAAAATACAATCCTAAATTTAACAAAAACCAAAATACACATTAACAACTCATGGGACATTCATGAAAATAAATATTACGGGCTGTGGACCAACTCTCAGACTTAAAAGTGTTGCCAACAGTCACCTCTGACTGCAGGAGAATTTCAGAAGTCAGTACTAAACAGACCTGCAAGGTCCCTTAAGTTACTGAAAAAAAAATGCATTGTCCATGGACACTAAAAAAGATTCTAAAATACGGACTAAATGAAAATGCCAAATATCAAAACTTGCAACATGTGACTAAAACAGTTTATCAAAATATGTAGCATTAAATGCTTGACTTGAGAAAGAACAAAGATTCAGGGCCAGGGATTTAGCTCAGTAGTGCTGTACCTCCCTTGCAGGCTCAAGGTCCTAAATTTAATCCCTGGTACCACAAAAAAAAAAACAAAAAGGTTCAATCATCCAGGCTTCCATCTTAAATTAGGAGAAAAAAAGCAAAAGTAGGCAGGAGAGGGGCAATAACAAGGAAAACAAATCAGTGGTACAGAAAAGCGAAAATAGATTAAATCAAATCTGAACCTGATTCTTTTTTAAAAAATTAATAAAACCAATAAACTAGCTAGATCATGGGGGTGGGCATCCTGAGACAGGGATTTAGCTCAGTGATGCTGCCATCTCCCTCAAAAGTGCAAGTTCCTGAGTTTGATCCCCAGTACCAAAAAAAAAAAAAAAAAAAGACATCCTTACGGAGCTTAACAATAAAAGGATAAGGAAGTAACAACTGTGACAATAAGCTTGACAATTCAGATGAAAATTACTCCTTTCTCGAAAGACCCAAGCTACCAAAACTCACAAATAGACAACCTCAATCAGAAAAATCTAATACCAAATTTAATTTATAGTTTTAAAATTTTGCACAAAGAAAATTTCCATTCCTGATGGCTCCACTGGTTAATTCTATGAATACTTAAGAAATATGTTGTATCAGGCTGGGATAAAATGTTTGCAAAACATACCTAAGAAAAAATTAAGTTCTACACAACTCACCCAGAAAATAGAGGAGAAAATATTTCCCACCTCAGTCTGTGAACCTAGGGTTTACCAAAACCAACAAAGCCATTACAAGAAGCAAAACTACAATTGACAATTTTTAGGAAGTTATGAACATTTTATAAAATATATTAGTAAAACTGGGTTTATCCCAAGATTGCAAGATTCACTGAATATTCAAAAATCAGAAATATGTAGTATAGTTCACTACATTTACAAAGTAAAATGAGACAAAAAAAACTCAATAGGTATACAAGAAGGAAGGTATTCAACACCAAGTCATAAAAATGGTCAGCAATCTAGCAATAGAAGGGAACTCTCAATCCAATAAAAAGTTGCTAAAAACCATATTCATCATGAAAGATTCGGCACTTTCTTCTTAGACTTAGAAACAAGGCAAGAATGTTGACTCACTTTTATTAAACATGTAGCCAAGATCTCACCCATTTATGGCAAAAATAAATGAAAGGCATACAGATAGGGACAAAAAGAACACTGTCTTTATCTGCAGACAAAGTTGTCTATGTAGAAAATAAAGATAGAAATTTACACTTAAATTGCAGTACCATCAAAAATACATAGAGATAAAAATTAATCAAAACCTGTTCACAGAAAACTACAAAACCTTGCTGAGAGAAATTGAAGATTCAAAGCAAGTCTTGGAAAGAGACCCTGGGTTCATGGATCAGAAAACTGACTGAGGTATCAGTTCTCCCTGAAAGCCTCTACTGGAATTCAGTGTAATTACAATCAAAGTTTTTAGCCACATATCTAGAAACTGACAGGTATATTCTACATTTACATGAAAATACATAAAACTTCAAAGTAGGAAACCAGTTTTGAAAACACCCTACGGTACATGGTTTCTAGGCTGATTTTTATAAAGCTGCTATAGTTAAAAACTATGCCAAGAATGAGATGAGATGCACAGTTCGAGAAACTAGAATTAAGAGTTGTTTAAGACCAACACACTTTGTCAATTGATTCTTGCCAAAGATGCCAAGACAGAATAATTGTTCAGAAGTGCCAAAATTAAATAGGCAAAGAAAATTGACTTGGTTTGTACCTCACACCATACACAGAAATTGATTCAAAATGCATTATCTACCTAATATAAGAAACATGTATAAAACTTCTAGACAAAAGCATAAAAAATTCTTTGTGTCCTTGGGTTAGGCAAAGATCCCGTGAAATATAAATCACATAAGAGAAGGATTGATGGGTTACACTTTACCAAAATTTAAAACTTGGATTTATCCGGGTGTAGTGGCCCAGACCTATAATCCCAGCACTCTGGGAGGCTGAAGGCAGGAAAATCATGAGTTCAAGGTGCAGCCTGGGCAATTTAGTGAGACCTTGTCTCAAAATTTTAAAAAATAAAAAGGGAAGGGGATATAACTCAGAGGTAGAATACCCTTGCATTTGATCACTAGTACAATGTAAGAAAAGACTGTTTAAAAAATTTAAAGACTGGGATAAAATGTTTGCAAAACATACCTAAGAAAAAATTAAAACATGTCTATACCAAAACCTATGCATGAATACTCATAGCTGTGTTATTTATAGACAAAAATGAAAACAACTTGAATTTCCATCAACTGATGAAATGTCATTATACATAAAATATAATATTTAGCCTTAAAAATGAATGCAATTCGAATACGTGCTAGAACAGAACCTTGAAAACTTGTATTAAATGGAAGACTGCCATGACAGACTACACATTCTATGATTCCATTTACATGAAATGTCCAAAACAGGCAAGTTATGTAGAGAGACAGATTAGGGGCTGCCTACAACTGGCAGCAGATTAATTGCTAATGGGTCTGGGTTACTTTTTGGAGTAATGAAGCTGTTCTACATTGTGGTGATATTTGTACAACTCTGTGAATACACTAATTCATGTAATTATACATTTTAAAGGGGTAACTACGGTATGTGAACTATCTCAAAGCCATGAAGATATATATGTTGCATACTTAACATATAAATGACTACACCACCATCATTTCCTAGTTGGGCAAATTTTTTAAACATAATTTATGAAATAAAATATATAAATGAGAAATAAGTAAAAAGATGATCCGTACCATTAGTCACTAGAGAAAGACAAACCCACAACTGCTGTCACTGCACATGCCATAGAATGGCGCAAAGGTAAGACTATCAGTAATACCCAATGTTGACCTGGACAGAGAGCAACTTGGGACTTGTACATATATGGCAGTAACAAAGTGTAAACAAGGACTAGACGGTATCATAGCTAATGTGAAATAGGAAGAAAAGGTGCAAAGCGGAAGGGGAAATGGGAGGGGTAGGGGAAAAGAAAGAAGGGAACGGAATGAACATGAAAAAAAGAAAAAATGGAAACAAAATCTTTGTAGATAGGGAGGGGTAGAGGGGTTGAAGGGAGGGCAGGGCAATGGGAGAAAAATAAGAACCAAGATGGATTATGTAAAGGTGCAAATTTCCAATGAGGAATGTCACTGCACTGTGTACCTTCACTGTGCCAATAAAATTAATTACTTCTTTTAAAGGTACAGCCACGTTGAAAGATAGTTTCTCAGTCTCGTATAAAATTTAACACAGAGTTAACCAGAAATCCCACTTAAGATTTACCCAAGATAAATGAAACATATGTTCACTTGAAGAATGATGTTAAGATACTCAGAGCAGTTTCAGGATAGACGCTCAGGGATAGTTCTGTGTCTACCGGTGAGTGCAGAAACGAATTCCACTCTGTCCATGCAATCAATCAAACACCACGCAGCAATGAATGAAAAACTGTGAAGCATCACATAAGGCTGTGGTAGCAGCATAGGTACACACTAACTGGTGAGTTTAAAATTATCTGAGTTTCCAAATTGAGTGAGCTTTGCTGTGTGTAAATTACAGCTCAGCAAAGCTCATCTTTATTAAGACCACCAATGAACTGTTTCTGAAGCTATAATAAAACAGAAACTTCTGTGCTCAAGCAAAACTATAAAAAAAATCGATTTAAT